TCTGAAAATGCTTATATTTTAAAGCAATTTCCCTCCAATTCCATATGGGAAGGATTTTATTGGAGGAAGATTTAACAATGGTAAGGTTTCTCAGACTTTGTTGGTATGTCCATAATTATTTCTTTCTCCAAATATTTGTGAAAAAGAATTCCTGATTCGTAAAACGATCATATAGTATATCCAGTTCATGGTTTCGACATCTAGAACCCTTTTATCTTTTTATCCAAGAGCATAGCTTGGGTGGTTATGATCCTGAAAATTAAGAGCATATTTTGCATTGTACCCGGATTGCGTTTAGGACGGAGGGAGGTGATTTTCGCACTCTCAAAAATACCTCACGCTCTCATCTTTCAATTTTATTTTTTTTAATCTTTGTAATATATTTATATTAGTTGAATTACCTAGTGTATCTCTAATGATTTTTTTTACTTTCCTCATGTGTTAGTAAACGTGGATGACTTACAGAGTGAAAGTGCATAAGCAACACTGATTGAAAAAAGGACTTTGTATGCGTGCAGCCTGCTACAGCAAATGCATTGAAATTGTTTCTGAATTGAACATCAAATTGGTTTCCGTAGTTGGCTTCATTGCTGATAAGATTTGGTGCCTTTCAACTTTCCTTCTTGTGTATATTTCTACATTTGTAAACCATTGTATTGTTGAGTTGACCTTTGCTGCCTGTTACCTTTCAACTTGTATTTATTTATTTTATTACTATGTAATCATTCCAGCAGAGAAATACATGTTGATAATTTTTCACATATAAAGGTACATCAGGGTGTTTTTCTAAAGTATTGAACTTGAAGGGTTTTTCTTTAAAAATACATCAGGGTGCCAGCAGAAAATGCACCAAGAACCACAGGCAAGTCTTGGAGTTTGACTTGGGTTCATTTTGCAAGCAAATGCATCTTTGGGAGCATTTTGAATCTCCCCAATATTGTCATTGAAAGTAGGTTGACCCCAAGTGCTGAGTCTCAGGCACCAAACCCTAATGCAATCCTTTCAAGGTGAGTAAATATAACATCATAATTATGACAGAACTCATAAAACATTAGAGTAAAACATTATGCGAGCTGGACTGAGATGAAACATTAGAGTAAATTTGGTCCTTAAACGACCTCATTTTTAAGTCCTTAGGTGATCGGGACTACATAAAAACAAATATGAGATTACAATATATTCAATATAATAGTTTTTGCTTCTAGCCAAAAATTGGGCCAGAGTGTCGTTGATTGCCTTCTCAAGCAAGTAGATGGCAAACTCCACACCTTCTACAACTTCACCAAATCCACCACCTTGAGACATTGGTACACTAATTTCTGTTTTAGGCCTCCCTCACTTAATTCAGAGAACATTTTTCTTTTTCTTTTTTTGATGACAAGAGAAGAGAACATTTTTCTTTTAATTTCAGAGAACCAATCCAAAACTGTCCCAGGCGAAGCATACTCATTTTACCCATTTGTACAACAAGAAAAACATAGTAGAATTGAACAGCAGAAAAAAGAAAAAACTTCCAGTACATAAACCAATTTATTTTTGCTCAAGAGTTATCTTCTACTTTTGATCCAGAGGAAAGCAGAAGCAAGAAAACCAATGAACTGAATCAGAATGGCACCCCAGTTCGAACCCGTTCGAACTAACCAAAAAGAATTAATTTAAGAAAAAAAAAAACAGAAAATGTTGGCCTTAAAAATTCAAGCCATCTATAATAATAACCTTCTTTAACAAGAAAAACAACCCCTGTGATAACCAAAATACAAAAACCCCAGATCTCAACTAGCTTTGTAGCCAAACAGCCAAAAGGGCAGGAGGCTTCAGTCATCTTATTTTAATTCTAGTTATATAATATATACCCCAGTCCAGCCTCTAACTCTGAATTATCATATGATGACAACTAATTATTTATTTTTTTAAGTGAGCTCCTTTGATTT